AAAATAATCCACAATTTGTGGATTATTTCACCAGCCTTTACCAGGGCCTTTGCTGCCCTTCGCATCTTTCTTTAAAAGGCCCTGGGGACGAGGTTGCAAAAGATTCTCCTCTTTAAGGCCCTGTCACACTATTGCGTATGAGAGAAACGTATGAGAAGCGTATGAAAATTGAAGTAATTTTCATACGCACAAAAATCCTTTGAAATGCCAGCGTATGAGTACAGTACATCTGGCGTACCTCTAGCGTATTCAGCGTGTGCCTATAGAGTATGCTTATCGTATAAAGCATACGTCCGAATACGCACAAAATTTTTGAGCATGCTTAAAAACAATTTTCTGCCTCGCCGTATGCCAGCGTATACCAGCGTATGCGACCGTGCTTGAAACGTATACAACCTATGCCTAATTTCCACTCAGGAAAACTAGTATCCCGTGGATTGGAACGGACAAGAAAATTTTTCTTTGTCTTGTGAGCTCTGGGTTGGAACTAATGACTTTAACACAAAGAAAATTTTTCTGGTCCGTTCCAATCCACGGATAATTTTCGATTCCTGAGTGGAAATTATATAGCTTTTAACCGTTTCAATCGCCATTGAAAAAGTACAGATTATCTACTTTAAATTCTGACATTACGTAAACAAATCCAGAATATCACCTCATATTTTTCTATAACTTCACACGTGAAAAATTACATTCTATGGTTTGGTACGTTCTTGCTTTAAGCACACGATTAAAAAACAAAAAAATCCCAGCGCTATATACATTACATAAACAAATCCAGAATATCACCTCATATTTTTCTATAACTTCACACGTGAAAAATTACATTCTATGGTTTGGTACGTTCTTGCTTTAAGCACACGATTAAAAAACAAAAAAATCCCAGCGCTATATACATTACATAAACAAATCCAGAATATCACCTCATATTTTTCTATAACTTCACACGTGAAAAATTACATTCTATGGTTTGGTACGTTCTTGCTTTAAGCACACGATTAAAAAACAAAAAAATCCCAGCGCTATATACATTACATAAACAAATCCAGAATATCACCTCATATTTTTCTATAACTTCACACGTGAAAAATTACATTCTATGGTTTGGTACGTTCTTGCTTTAAGCACACGATTAAAAAACAAAAAAATCCCAGCGCTATATACATTACATAAACAAATCCAGAATATCACCTCATATTTTTCTATAACTTCACACGTGAAAAATTACATTCTATGGTTTGGTACGTTCTTGCTTTAAGCACACGATTAAAAAACAAAAAAATCCCAGCGCTATATATACTAAACCTGTTACATTTATTTGCCATTCCAAAATTGATGAGCAGACCGGGGATCCAGGGTTAAAAAGTAACAAAATACCCGAGTATTGAAATGATTGAATACCAAATGGTCTAACTTACTCGATACCTAAATTACAGCGGAATGGTTCGGAACGAAAATATTCTTATAGTCTGCAATAGGAAATTTGTTTTTAATCCTGCAAGACATAATTACTACAGGGTTTATCTTGTATGCCATATCAGTCTTAAAGATATATTGCTTCATGTAAAGTAAAAAGACAGATCCCGATAATGTCACATAGTCTTTTGCTGAAAATCTTTAGCCCTAAGGTAGCGGTCATTATTTTTGGCACCGAATTTTCCACCTCGTATGGGGACGCTTCAAAACCCATAGTAATTTTCGCAATTGGTTAAAGCTTAGTGTTCCATATACGGTATTTATTCAAATGTTCATTTCCTCATATTGTTACTTTTGAACACGCGTTGCTAAGCCTGTTCATCAACTTTAAAATAGCTAAGTAGCTAATATATATCTACAAATAGATTACAAAATCTGTACGTACTCCAACCATAGATATCTTATATACACTAGATAGTGCATCATATTATTCTGCAATTCAAAAATTGAAGCCGTGATTGCAGACTCGGGATATTCCCATGAAATGAGAAGACTCGTATGTTTTCTATTTCTTAAACAGGGAACTTACACATTAAGTTAAACCTATTCCAAATACATTTTCAAACTATTCAAATGATTAAAGTTATTGTTGTTTTTTAAGCGTTTATTAGCGAATGGGGGTAACCGCTGGAATATTCTTGGCTTCAATTTTACCAAAGAGATGCGCTATCTAGTTTATATAAGATATCTATGACTCCAACGCAACGACAAATGGCCAATTCCATTTTGTTATTACCATTTGCGAGCTTCCGTGAAGGGTGCATTTGGAACCAGGGTTTGAGATTAGAAATCTTTTTAATCATTTCACTCTTAAAAACTTCTGAAATGATATAATAACCTATTTTGAAGATTTTCGTTTGCTCACTTTGTTTTTGAGATATTTCAGTTTGTTTGGTATGCAAATATCCGGAATTTACGTCACAAATGCATACTTTTATATCGTATTCACTACCGAGTTTAATTCATTAAAATGAAGTTTGGAGTTGTGGGAGGATTACATATACCTTTGTAAAACACCATTTAGCCTTTTTATTTCATGATATTTAACTGTACCTTACATTCTTTGATCAGTCATTATTCATATGTGACGTAAATTCCGGACATTTGCATATCAATAAAACTGAAATAACTCAGACAAAGTGTGCAAAGGAAAATCTTCAAAATTAGTTACAATATCTTTTCAAAGGTTCTTAGAAATGAGATGATAAAAATACTCGAGGTTAGGTGTATTTTATATGCACATTTCATGGAAGCTTGCAAATCTCTCGAAGAATGTGTCTTGAAATTCCCCTCTAGACACCGAAATGTTCGTCAATATTTATATTAGTAGTGTCAGAATAAGCCATCATTCTACACTACTTGCTATTCCTACCATACAGTATGTGGCTTCAGTTCGGGATTCTGATAATGAAGCTGGGCGAATTTCCTCGTCCAGTCTCTGGCGACAATGTTAAAATATCCCCTATCATCCTCATACATCCTGCCCACCGCATGTTCCATGCAGACGCGACAGTAAGGGTCTGTTAAAAGGGACTGGATACTAACCAAGACCTTGGGTATGGTTAGTGCCAGGCTCCAGTTATCTCGCAGGCAATCGATCCCAATATCCCCATGCCTGTTAACATTCGGATGTAGAATTCGTGTGAGGAATCTCACTCTCGGTGGCATCATGGGATAGCATCGTGGCAGTTCCAAGTGGAGGTAGAATATGCCGTTTTCATAGACCGAGTCAGGCGGTCCTGCAATCGAAGCTTGCCAGTTCGAGTACTCGTCATCAACTGGGCATGCTCGGATGCCCTCCGGCGGGTCCACCAATAGTTGCTTGAGCTCGCTGCGCAGTCGTTTGTTTCGCCACGAGTTCGGGACATCGTCTGGTACAACTCTCTGTTTGGTTGAAAAAATATATTAGTTTTGTTTAACCCATTAGCCCTACTTTATTGTAAATTTTACTCTGTCTAACGGCAGACCATCTCACTCTGCCTAACGCCAGACGATTTTATTCTGTCTAACACCAGGCAATTTTACTCTGTCTTACGCCAGACAGTTTTACTCTAATGCCAGACAATTTTACTCAGTCTGACGCCAGACAATTTTACTCAGTCTGACGCCAGACAATTTTGGGTTGAGGAAGGTTTCGTCAAATGAAAGCTGTTAATGAACGATTAATTTTCATTATTTTCATTATGAAATATGAATTTATTTGAATAGTTAATATCAACAATCAATTAACAACGATTAATTAAACATAATATTGAATGAACCTAGTAGCTACTGTCATTTTGCAAGAAAGGGCATGTTTTAAAATTTTTATTTGACAGCCAACGGGAGCACTAGTCAAAGTAGCCAAAACCTGCACAATTCCCTGGATAAAAAAATGAATCTGTCAAAATAAATTCCTACCTTCACAAATCCTTCTTCCAGACAAGGCACACATGTTGATGCTTCCACCCTGAGAAATTAAATATCAAAAGAACATATTGAAGGTCTTGATATCCTGTATGCTTGCATATATCTACAGCAATTGTTCCGGCTTACCCTAGTGCTGCGCGCCGGAGTGCAAGTGCAGACGCTCTGCTGGAGCTTGGGCATTTTTTTTTTTGGTCTGCCAAAGCTCGGGCGTTGTTTTTTTGGTCTGCCAGGTTTTTTTCGTGCTTTCACCCAGCTCCGGCTGGAAAGTCAGTATGACAAGAAATGTGACAATTTTTCGAAGAATAATCGTTGGTTGCAAATAATCACAACATTGAATTTGACAGTACATATAATCTGAATTCATATCTGTTGTGTCAAAGCATTTTGGCTACTGCAAATGGCCAAGTTGCAGTAAGTCATGTCTGTGATCTATCTTATCAAAGGAAAAGTTTGCAAGCGTCATGATTTGATATCATGTCATCTTACCTTGGCAGCAAAATTGAGCCAAATAATATCGACTTGTCTCCTAAGCTGTGAATGCAGCCGAAGCTGGATATTTGAGTTTTTTTGAAACATCTGCTATTACATATAACTTACATTCTGACATAGAGATCTCTCCAGCATGTTACAACCCCAACAGGACGAAACAGTGGCCATCTCTTTTCAAACAGTACACTCCAGTTTTCCATGCCATCAGTAAGCATTCTCCATCTTTGACATACTTGAGATGCTTTGCACAATCCAATCTCGTCCAAATACGAGAAAATGTGAAGTAAAACTATATATAAACAGAATAATATCACACACAGAAAACATCAAAAATACATACTCAAGATCCGGCGTGGGTCATACCAGTTGGCAATGGGCTATTTGCCGAAGAAAGACCACCAAATGCCTGATTAATTTTGTTCTGTACAGGGTGGCCAAACACAATTACAGTATAGGCATTGCTTTAAAAATGTGTTTTTTACAAAGAATTTCAGCGAGCTCAACAGCAGCTCAGAATACTAGGCATGTGACTGCTGTGTTTTAGTTCCCGGGTTCAAACCCACTTCGCGAAGCTATAATAGCTATAATTAGCTTACAGTAATGTTTATTTCCCAAACCGGTTTCATATATTTTTACAAATGACCAATTGCATGCAAGATTCAAATTCTGAACCTAATCAAGTGTGGAAGTTGGATTTGCAACCGATGTGACCAGAGGCTCTCCGTTCTCACCTCTTGTTTCTTTCGCCTCGCAAAGAGCCTCTGGAACCAGGGTAGCGATTTGTTTACATTTATTAAAAGTATAGAACTTTGTTGACCTTTGAACTCAGCCAATAAGAATCTACCGAGTTTAACTATGACCAATCAGAATCAACTACCCAGAGCTGGTAGTCGACAAGTAATGGCTACACATGTGAGAATGCACAAGTTGTTACAGGTCTGCAAACAAGTTGTTACAAAACTGTTCACAAGCTGTCGACAAGTTGTGTTCGCACTGCTTGTTCCCAGTTGTTGTAACAAGTTTGGAACAAGTTGTTAACAACTTGTAACACACTTATGGCATTATCAGACTTGTTACAAGGTTGTTCCAACAAGTCTGATACAGTCATGATATAACAAGAATGTTACAACACAAGTTTGTAACAATATCATGACTGTATTGGACTTGTTGGAACAACCTTGTAACAAGTCTCATAACATTAACAAGGTTGTTACAATGATGTTTGTGATGTTACTCTGAGTTTGCATCCACACCGGGCAAGCTGAAAAGTTAGCTTGGCCACAGTGGGAATCGAACCCGCGACGTTTGGGTTCGATTCCCACCTTCGGGTTCCATTTGCGGGTTCGATTCCCACCGTGGCCAAGCTAACTTTTCAGCTTGCCTGGTGTGGATATACACTCAGAGTAACATCACAAACATCATATTCACCTGAGTACACAACACCAACACACACAAAGGTTGTCAACAAGTTGTTTTATACTTGTTGACAACTTGGGACAAGAAGGGCAAACACAACTTGTTGGCAGACTTGCTACAAGATGTGAAATTTTTGCATGCATAGTCGCTCACGTGCCTCGACAGATATTCGATCCACTGTGTAAATAATCAATACATTGAATATGGATGAATACATTCCTAAACGGGGGGGATGTCACACTATACACATGTCAACACGTACTTTCTGTAGGCATTTTCTCCACAAAATCATCTCTAATGGTCGATTCAGTATCCTTCAAACACGTCGCATTAAACTGAATTATGTCTTTATCATAAATAGCAAGCTGGGCAAGCCCTAGTAGCTCATTATCTTCGTCCTCCGATTCGGAGTCGGAGAAACATAAAATTGTTGGTAGTTTCACTTGCTCGGCGCTCGAGGTCTGGCCTTTGTTGACAATTTCATTTTTGAGCGTCCCGTCTTTACCACAGCGATGCCGCGGCCTGTATTTAGGATACGTCGGACATTGGTCTCTATTGTACGGAATATATTTCTCCTTGTCCTTAGATTTGACCCTGATGTCGTCGAATTCCTTTTGTAAAATCGTGTATTCTGGATACATGAATTGGTGACACCGCTTGCAGAGCGGCCCGTGCGAGGGGCTTTGCAAGACGATATCGCAAATAACACACACTTGTGAAACTTCATCGTACACTAGATAGTCTTCTACATCAGATTCTACGTCTTCGTTTTCGTCGCTGTCCGAGATTTCGTCCTCATCTTCTGGTAAAGGTGTACTACACGCTTGCAGAAATACAGTCTCGCCTTCCATTTTCGTTCGAATCTCCATCGATCAAACAAACAATGTTTCCACTTGGAATTCCTGTTTTTCTGGGTTTTTGTAGAAATTCCTGTTTTTGTACCAGCGTAACCAGTTTCTTTCAGGATCATTTACCATATTTATTTGCATAAATTACAGTATTTTTTGAAGTGGGGCAAGCCCCCCCCCCCCCCCGCTCCCACACAAGCCCGGAAAGTGTATTTTGCAGGGGGTAGGGGATACCTACGGGGGAAAACAGGTAATTTGTAGGAAGGCGAAGGGGATCGAACTTGTATTGCTATTTTTTGCATATTTTTATTGCCATTCGTCGCGTTTCCTGCGGAAAAAGGCACTTTGCTAAATCATAGTCTAAACTTTGCTTGACTCCAAGGTGAATTTAATTAAACAGTGAACAGAAAACTACTTGATTTGGAGTCATTAATCATCTCCCTCCCACAGGGGCGTGGGAACCGGGGGGAGCAACATGCCCCCTTCATTTTTTTAAAGGACTAAAAGTGCCCTTTTTTGTGATGAAAAGTGGCCTTTTTGTACATGCTAATGTTAAATACTAAATTAACATCAAAGGTGACCTTTTTGTTTGGAAATTTCCATGTTTTTTAAAAAAAATGTGGTCAAAAACGTGCAATTTCGGCATGGTATCCTTAGGTGCCCTTTTCAATGTCCTAAAATGCCCATGGAAGCTGGTGCCCCCCCCCCCCAATCGTTTGATGCATGGGCGTACCGGAAGGAAAAATTTAGGGGGGCGGAAAGAAATCCCCCCCGTCGCCAAAAAAATTTCGGTCAGTGTACCATTTTAGGAGTCAAAAAATTTTTCCGGACATACCTAAATTTTCCGGAACCTAACATAAATTTTGGAAACATCACAAAATTGACCACAAAATTTACAGAATTTGTCCAATTTATTTTTTTAATAAACCAAAATTGCCCGACTGTTCAGCGAATATTGCCCGACTGCCCAACAAACGGGGGGGGGGGGCTGCCGCCCCCCCCCCCCGCCCGGTAGGCCTATGGGTGTGATGGCTCAGTATTCACCGGAGTACATACACCTCAAATCAACATTTAAGTTGAGCACCATCTGCTGCCCTGAATCGCTTAGCAAAAACTGTGAGCTCCATATATACTGGATAATTCTATCATTTCGCTCAGTTCGTATTGCAGTGAGAACTATGGAAGGAAAACTTGTTTAGCGATCTGGAATTAGCTGTAAAAAATGGTTTGAAAACCGTTACGTTTTGCGACCTTCATAGATTCTTGACGTCAATTCCGCCATCTTAATGGCTTCACTTTTCTCATAGGCCGAATGACTGAAGTTCGCGCTCCAGATATATATATATATATATATATATATATATATATATATATATATATATATATATATATATAGCTCACTGACTAAAACCCACTGGCAATATAAGAACCCCCACGTCTGCATCACAATCTATAGATTAATACACAATTACCGTTTTCCCACAAGACGCCATTTTGGTGAGTCCCAACAGAGTGTTTCTTGCCGCGTATCTCTCTACATCTTCCTCCCTAGCATCCTCTGGGAATGTTGCAAGATACCTGTTGAACCTTCAAAAAAATTTTCTCATCAGTTTAGCAACCAGACCGTACATTTTTTCAGTTTAGTCCCCATTGTGGCTTTTCACTGACCGATTACGTACATCAAATATTATTCTTACTTACATGCATTACAACTTGTGATATTACTTTCCCAATCATGTTTATCCTATCCTACCCTGTCAACTTTCCAAGTGGGATCGGAGGAAAACTGGGAGCTCAGAAACACGGGCGTTTGGGTTCCGAGGCGTTTGGGGTTTAATGCGATAACCTTGCTTTTTGGTGTTTCCGTTCTTGTTGCCGTTGTGGCGGTCAAACGCGGGGTTTCCAACCCTGAGTATTGATTCCTGCCCTGTTTCTTCAACCTACCATAGTTCTTCTAAACTACGAATAACACAAGCTTGAGCGGACACCAACATGGCTGGCGTCACGTGTTCAATGCGTGGTATCTCCCTGATAATTTCTGCTCTACACTGAAGATGTTTACCTAACAACAATTTAAAAATAAAATCAGACTTGTTAGAACAACCTTGTCACGTCTGATAATGTCAATATGTCATCAAGCTTGTGATGAGTTACAACAACTGGGAACAAGCAGTGCGAACACAATTTGTCGACAGTTTGTGAACAGATTTGTAACAACTTGTTTGCAGGCCTGTAACAACTTGTGCGTTTTTACGTGTGTAGTGCAAATAGCGCG